GACAGACACACAGACACGTGACAGACAGACATGTGACAGACAGACAGACAGACACACAGACACGTGACAGACAGACACGTGACAGACAGACACGTGACAGACAGACACGTGACAGACACACAGACAGACAGACACACAGACACACGGACACGTGACAGGCAGACATGTGACAGACACACAGACAGACAGACAGACAAACACACAGACACAGACATGTGACACACAGACAGACAGACAGACACGTGACACACAGACACACACACAGACACGTGACACACAGACATGTGACAGACAGACACGTGATAGACAGACAGACAGACAGACACACAGACACGTGACAGACAGACACACAGACACAGAGACATGTGACAGACAGACAGACACGTGACACACACACAGACACACAGACACGTGACACACAGACATGTGACAGACAGACAGACAGACACATGACAGACACACGGACACGTGACAGACAGACACACAGACAGACACACAGACAGACACACAGACACGTGACAGGCAGACAGACAGACAGACACGTGAAAGGCAGACAGACAGACACACACACACACACAGACACGTGACAGACAGACATGTGACAGACAGACAGACAGACAGACACACAGACACGTGACAGACAGACAGACAGACAGACACACAGACACGTGACAGGCAGACAGACAGACAGACACACAGACACGTGACAGGCAGACAGACAGACAGACACACAGACACGTGACAGTCAGACAGACAGACAGGCAGACACACACGTGACAGACAGACAGACGAGAGGCAGACAAACAGACACACAGACACGTGACAGACAGACAGACAGACAGACAGACACAGAGACACGTGACAGGCAGACAGACAGACACATCACACACAGACAGACACACGGACACGTGACAGGCAGACATGTGACAGACACACAGACAGACAGACAGACACAGACACGTGACAGATGGGCAGACACACTGCTGTGACACCATCAAAACGTTCCCATAGCAACCACAGCACGTCAAACCTCAGATGAAGTCTCACCGACACTCAACCTGCTGCTCATGTACTTCCTCCTGAAACAAGCCCCGCCCCTCACACACCTGATACCCCGACAGGTGAAAGCTGACGTCTGATTGGACGGTTGCCTCAGGTATATTTACTCCTGCAGCTTTGTGAAACAGTCAGCTGACAGAACAGGAAGTACACCTGTCTCACCTGCAAACTGTGTCCTGTCTGACGTGTACATTAGCATGACGGCTAGCACTGTAAGCTCCCTCTGTATAACAGCTACAGCCCTATGTACCCAGAATGCAACAGTAACGTGCCATCCTGTCACCTCGCCATGGAAAACTTCATTAGGAGTTCTTTTATTCACCTGTCTCTACTGTATTTATTGATTCATTTATTGATCTATGTCTGTAACCCCACACCCATCCACTGATCGATCCACTGATCCACTGATCGATTGATCCCCGTGTGTTATTTTCCTCATGATGAATTTAACCTGATTGAATGTGAGCTCAAAGAAATCAATAAACCACATGACTTCCTGTCTCTCTTTCTGTGGGCTTTTTTTAACTTTACTGTCATGAACCAACAGGTGATTAACACATCAGATTCTACCTGACATCACACAGCTATGTTCACCCTCCAAACATACACACTCACATACGCACATATTACACACACACACAAAGACACAAAGACACATGTGCACACACATATATACACACACACATTTATGGAGCTAGAACAGTCTCAAAATGAATAAAAGCATAAAGAGGATTTACAAATGTATTTGGGGGATTTAAATGTATGACTCAAAACACAAACACATTTTCACACACACAAAAATATGTTTCATTCCATATATAAGTAAAAGAAAACCCACATATAAAAAATAAGATATATAAACATATTTGTGATGCACACACAAATATTTCTTGTTTTAAATATGTGCAATTGAAATTCACAAATGTATGCATGTAGAAGTATGTGCAGTGCTCATTAAATACATATTGTGAGGTTGATACACTGATATATGAACTGTCCAGCCTGCATTTACAAAGTGCTTTTAATTTGTAAACTTCTCTGCATTTGTGTGTGCGACTTTTGAGACTCCCCTGATGTGACTCAATTCACAAATTCATTTTTTTAAGAGGGGATTGTCTGCAGCCAATCAGATGTCTCACTCCTTTACAGTCAATCACATGAGTGCCTCCCCATGAGGGGCGTTATATGAGCAACAGTGCCATGGTGCCCTCTTAAGGGAATGCTGTACCATGTATTGTTGTATTGTGTATTTATGTGTTTTATTGTTTGTTGATTTTTTATGGAAGCAGGCAATGTGCACAGCACTGAAGTCAAAGACAAATTTCCCTTTGTGGACAATAAAGTATATCGTATCGTCTCACCTGTGTCTCAGTCTATCTCAGACTGTCTCAGTCTGTCCCAGACTGTCTCACCTGTGTCTCAGTCTGTCCCAGACTGTCTCACCTGTGTCTCAGACTATCCCACCTGTGTCCCAGTCTGTCCCAGACTGTCTCACCTGTGTCTCAGACTGTCTCACCTGTGTCTCAGTCTGTCCCGGACTGTCTCACCTGTGTCTCAGTCTGTCCCAGACTGTCTCACCTGTGTCTCAGTCTGTCTCACCTGTGTCTCAGACTGTCCCACCTGTGTCTCAGTCTGTCCCAGACTGTCTCATCTGTGTCTCAGACTGTCTCACCTGTGTCTCAGTCTGTCTCACCTGTGTCTCAGTCTGTCCCAGACTGTCTCACCTGTGTCTCAGTCTGTCCCAGACTGTCTCACCTGTGTCTCAGTCTGTCTCAGACTGTCTCATCTGTGTCTCAGACTGTCTCACCTGTGTCTCAGATTGTCTCACCTGTGTCTCAGTCTGTCTCAGACTGTCTCATCTGTATCTCATGTGTAAATATGTTAAAGTTCACTGGAGGTTAAATTTAAGTTTTTCACTGTCACACTATTAAAAAGATGAAACTGAATTTGTCTCTGAGCTCAAATAAAACAATAAAGAACCCACCTTGTCCGTCAGCAGGACAGGGCTTCATGCTGAACAGGTGAATTTGTCTTCACCCTCTGAACTCAAATAAAAAAGGCTTCATGTTAAAAAGGTCGAAAAAAGAGTCAAAGCGAAGCACCAACTCACCCAAAACAAATGTGTCCTCTCTTCAAACTGCAGAAACATAAACCAGGAAACAGCGACATAGAATCAGACTCACCGGCTGGTGTCTGTGGCATGACGGCGTGCTCCTGACAGTTTCCTGCTGTCATCAGTTGCCTGGCTCCAAACTGTCTCCTTACAAACAAAATCAAAATCCCTCCTCAAACAATTCACTTGCCCTTTGTTCCCCAGGCCACGCCTCCTCACACCTGAGCAGTGCTGAGCAGTGGGAGGGGCCAAGTTAAAGGGGTAGTCCCCAAATATTCACCTGTGTGTTGTGTCACAGCTGACCATTTTTCCCCGTTAAAGGGTTTTTTTGGGGAGTTTTTCCTGATCAGCTGTGAGGGTCCTAGGGACAGAGGGATGTCATATGCTGTAAAGCCCTGTGAGGCAAACTGTGATTTGTGATATTGGGCTTTATAAGTAAAATTGATTGATTGATTGATTGATTGATTGATTGATCATCAGGGCCCTGTTTCAGAGAGCAGACTCAACAACCTCTGATCCTGATCTCTGAGCTGAGAAGCTGATCAGGCTCAGTCAACTCTGAGGATGTTCAGCCTGAGGGAAGCTCGTTCATGGTGAGCACCAACAGACATCATCAGCGGAGTGCAGATAACATGATTTTTAAAAGCAGAGCCACTGATTTCATCCAAAACTGAATCAGAGATTTGAAGACATGAAAAATCAATGTGCTCCATCAGCTGAACAGAGTGAGGTGTGATGGGAACAGCCTGCAGAGCGTGTTCATATGTGAGGTGATGTGACGTCATGTGATGAGGTCATGTGTCTAACATACAGAAACATGTTTATATCTTAACAGTGTTCATATATTTGAATATAATTTATTCAGCTGTAATGTGATGGAGCCCAAACACACTGGGCACAAACTCAACATCAAACACACATACATATTAAACAGACTGGAACTGATCCTGACGTCATGACGACGTGGACACCAGGCTGATGGAGCTATTATTGGATGTTGAGTCCCATCAATGAGCCAGTTCCATCTTTGAATATATGAGACATCTTGATCAATGACCTCATCATGTGTCCAGGTAGATTCATTTCTCATAAACACTGAGACACCTGCAGTTCTGTGGAATTCCTCTGTGATGAGCCGCTCTGATTTATGTCCAGGGAAAACCAGATACACTTTTCTTATGACCCGACAAACCGCTGTCTCTGCTCCAATGATGATGATGATGTGTAATATGTGATATATGTGGGTGGAACAGATTGTTAGATAAATGATAGAGTGTGAGGTCAAACAGTATCTTTCGTAGAGACACTCACAGGAACCATAAGACGTCACCTTCTCCTCACACAACAGACCCTCAATCATTTCTGACTCAGCATCCACCATTTTATTCACCAAAGTACACTCCATGTTACCACTTCCTGTTACAGGCTCAGCAGACGATTAGCCTCAGGCTGAGATGAGGAGTATGTTGCCATAGTAACTGACTCAGGGTTATATTGAACTGGCCATGACCTCAACAATCTCTCATGTTTCAGGCTGATGGCGTAGATAGCATCAGAGCACGTATTCTAACTGTGTGTCTGTTCCAAGTGGGTGACACTTCCTGTTGGCTCCTGCTCAGGGGACAAAGCTTCAAACATGGACACTTCACACACAGAAGATCTGACCAATCAGATTAGAGTCACCAGTTCAGTATCTGACCACTTTGTAAAACAAGAGGATGTCACAGTGAAGCTGACCTCTGACCCTTGACCTTCATTATTTCATCCTTTCAGATGTGTGAAGTTTTGTCAGAATTAGTGAATTCTTCAATATGGACAAAACAAATGATTTGTGAGGTCACGCTGACCTTTGACCTTCGACTGCCAAACTCTGATCAGTTTATCGTTGAGTCCAGGTGGACGTTTGTGCCAAGACCTTCTTCAGGAATCGTGTCTATGTGAACAGGGCGTTTGTCTGTGGAGCCATAAAAACTCTTTGATGTTTTGGCGCCTTTCACAGTGGTGAAATGTGAGTGACATGATGATGTCATAGCAACTGTTGCCATGACGACAGTGAAGTCAAGTAAATCATCAGTGAAGAGAACAGAAACACAGTTGTGTTGGTTTGTGTAAATAAATATCCTGAGTGATACATCTGCAACCTTCAGGGATGAACCCAGGAAACATTGTGATGGTTAAAACTTCTCTGATTGGTGCTGAGTTACCATCTGAAAATAAAAACAAACTAATCAGTTTAAAGCGTTGAGACAGACGCGTCCCTGATTGGTCACCATCAACCAAAGAAAAAAACAAACGAATTGAAGGTTCAGATTATTTTATTGGTTCATGTTCAAGCGGTCCGATCAAAGTTACAGACATCAGCTTTAACAATCCAACAGTATATGGACCAATCAGAGCTCGGCTGGGCGCTGCTCCCATACAGGACACGAGTTAGGAGTGACACCCAACAGGAAGTTGGCGGAGCTCAGGTCCAGAGCATCACTCAGGTGAGACTTAATAAGCTGCAGGTTCCTCAGACAACCTCTGAACCTGGTGCTGATGGACAGGCAGTTCTGTTTGACTCCAGCTGCAACAGAGAGACAGAGGGACAGGTGGACATAAAGACAGAGACAGGTGGACAGAGAGAGAGACAGGTGGACAGAGACAGTGAGACAGATGGAGACAGAGAGACAGGGTCAGTATGAGTCCTCACAGCCATCTTTATGTTTCCATTCAAACCTTCAGAGCTGGGCGGAGCATCTCACCTGGAAACCCACCCAGGTAAACTGGGTTGTTGGTCTCAGCAGAGGTGGATTGTGGGTAAGGGTTGGGGGTAGTGTAACTCCGCCCGTCGACACTCAGACTCAGGGTGTTTTTGTTTTTTCTGGCCAGCAGGTGGTGCCACCGTCCGTCACACAACATGTGACCAACAGAACGAACCGACACTCGCCCCGCCCCGTTATTCACGTTAAACACCACCTGAGGAAAAACACAGGTGAGTGATGTCACATATAAACACACACACACACACACACATATGACTCTCTGCTCACCTGTCCATCAATCATCTCCAGTCCGATAGCGTCCACCTTTGCACTACTGATTCCTAAAAACACTCCCTCTGATTGGCTTGTTCGAAACTCCAGAGACACAGACACGTCTGAGCCCACCTTGTACCCATCACGCACTGAGCACACGCACACACACACACACACACACACACACACACACACACACAGATTAACACCAAGATCACATATCATCACGTATGTTGTCTTTCGTTAGGTTGGACTTACTGAGGGCAGCGTATCCACTGCCGTTATAGTAACTTCCTGTCTGGTCTTTGGTGAAACAGGAAACGACATGTTGCTGCGAGGTGGGCTTGGACAGATCCAATGTGGCTCCATTCAGAATGACAGAGCGAATACAACCTGGAAAACTGCTGCTCACCTGAGAGATGGAAACAAGACGTGTTACAGGAAGTGCAGGTGAGGCTCAGGCAGTCACCGGGGCAACACTCTGTTTGAGGGTGTTTGGTCCTCAGGTGAGATCACGTACGTTAATCCTCCTGGTGGGCAGCGTGTGCGGCAGTCCTCCCAGGTAGACTCTGCTCTCCACGTCCAGCTGGTTTCCTTTAACAGACACAGCGTCCGGATGTGACCCATCAACAGACACTGACACAGACCGCCGGCTGACCTCGGCGCTCACCTGACGGAGAATCACAGAGTTTAAACAGCTAGAACCAAAGATCTGGGACTCTGTGGAACCGTGACATGAACACAGATTCACTCACAGTGTGCCACTCTCCGTCATTAACAACCGTGGATGAGGTGACGGAGGCAGGGCCTTTCCCCAGGTCAGCTGACATTATCAGTCTCCCCCCCGTCAGTCTGAGGACGATGAAGTCCATCTGTTTGGAGTCAGAGAGGAGGAGGATCAGCCCGTCTGCAGCTCTGCTCCGAACTGACAACCTCAGCGACACACTGAGGACGAGAAGAGACACAACATGCAGGAGTCAGACGTATGTGTGGAGCCGCGCCTCTCCCTGGCTGCAGCCCTGCCCCCATCATCGTCACGGTGACTCACCTCCTTTTGACAGTGTTGGGATTAATGATGAAGGTCATGTGACTGTGTTTGGACAAACCAAACTGAACCGCTGACGGCAGGAAGGTCGGCTCCGCCTCCGACACACACTGCATCATGCACAGTTCAATAAACAATAATCAGTCACCGATAATCAACAACAATGATCAATAACTGATAATTCTAATGTTTATACTTGTTTATGTTTATAATGATCAATAATAAACTTATTGATTACCGTTAATGTTCCAGGTGTCAGGGCGCTCAGGTGTGTGGGTGGGGCCACAGGCGGGTGGACGGGGTCAGGAGTTGGTTCTACATCCTGGTCATCAGGTAGTACTGCCCCCGCGACCTTTTCTTCCAATAGGCAGCTGTCGAGCTCCGCCCCCTCATACCTCAAAGCTCCTGATAGGTCGACCAGCCTGGGGGAGGGGCCAAACATAAGAGTTAACCAATCAGACAGATAGAAAACTCTGTGTGTGTGTGTGTGTGTGTGTGTGTGTGTGTGGTTGTGTGTGTGGTTGTGTGTCCCCTTTAATTAAATAGGTGCAACATCAGACCCAACAACCTAGAGTCTGCTGCAGCTAACCGAGCACTTTGGCATTCTCTTTGTCACGATGGGGTCATGCACTTGGAGGAGAGTCGCACCCAACAACAGAGGATTCGGCACCAGCGAAGACAACCTCACGCTAATCCAGTACCATGCCAGCCTCCTGATCCAAGCCTCACGTGTCCTCACTGTGGCAGGATATGTGGCTCTAGGATCGGGCTTCATAGTCACGTGCAGTGGCATCGCCATCAGCATCGATAGCCACTGTCACGTTCACCACAGCTGTATGGAAGCTATGTCATCTTCGACTACGATGGACCGCCAGAAGAAGTGTGTGTGTGTGTGTGTGTGTGTGTGTGTGGAACTTACACTCCGCCCACCACCAGGTGTTGGATGCAGCCTCTGAACCACCTGGACACATTCTGTAATCTGATTGGCAGACGAGACACCTCCCCTGATGGCAGCCCACCAATGAAGAAAGAGGCCGGTGACAAACGAGAAAATCCGCCCGGCAACAGAGAGACAGACTTGATGTGTCCCTCGTCCACCTGCATGGACAGAGACCTGCGAGACAGACAAGTGATATATTAATACTCATCAAACAGGTAAGACAGGTGAGACAGGTGTCTGTTTCCATGGTAACACCTACTTCCTGCTTATGGTGATAATCACAGAGTGTTTTGTCCCATCACTGAAGGATCCTCCATTAGGTTTCATCACCATCACCCTCCGAGTAGCCCCGCCTACCTCACCAAGCTCCGCCTCTAATGCACCTGAGACCAGGTGGACAGACAGGAAGTGCTGCAAACACACACACACACACACACACACACAGAAGACAATGGTGGTTACACAACGGTAAAAACACCTGGCATCCAGGTGAGTCACATGACCTGTCCATCTCACCTGTCTCTGTGTATGGTCGTCACTAAAGGCAGCCAGCAGGACTCCTGATTGGTTGTTGGTAGAGAAGGAAAAGAGGAGCTCTGCTTCCTGACGGAATGATGGAGGAGCGATCTGAACGAAGCCTTCGGCCAACACCGACACACTGCGTACCGCCTGGAACAGGTGACATCATCAGTGTCAGTAATGGTGATTGATTATTGATTGTGACCAAGGGTCGATCAGTCTAATGATCAATGATACAACAGTATACTACAATATACTAGAACTATACTACACTATACTGCAACAATACTACACTTTACTACAATATACTACAATTTCAATATAATCTACTACAGCTATACTATACTAAATCCCCTCTGAGCGTCAGTGATACCAACTGTACTTCACCGTACTGCACTTTGTTTTAATTGTGTGAAGCACTTTGTGTTGCATTCTGTTTGTATGAAAAATGCTATATAAATAAAGTTTGATTGATTTGTACCATACAAATGAATGTTAACATGTTTCCCTGTCTGACAGCATCATGTAACACATGATCTATTATCAGATCACATTACTGATAGTAGATGTTCCTCTAGTGTGACTCTGACTTTATGTTCTTACTTTTCTGTGTGTGTGAATATATTTGTCTTTGTGCAGCTGCACCTGAACATCTCCTCTGAGGATTGGTGTGTGTTAGCACCTACTGCATGATAACACTGTGTTTAACATGAAGGAAGCAGAGGGCTTTTATTGTGAAACATCCACAGGAAATGTTGACAATAACAAGGTTAACGTTCGACTCATCATGTTGTCATGTTGTTGTTTTTTTTGTAAATCTGAGACAAGACGACATTGTTTTTCGTCCTTCACACTCCACATGCTTTCTGTAACAACGCTCTGTGATGACACCTGATAACACATGATTCTGTATGACCTCGACAAACTGTAAAAACTGTACAAACTGCACAAGGCTGAGGAAACTGTCTTCATCATCATCATTTTCATCATACCCTTGTCCATGAACCACTTTTCAAAGCAGGTTACAGAGTGCTTCACATATAAGCCCCCGCCCCCTAAAAATTATTAAATGAAAAAAACAAATAAATGAATAAACAAATGATATTAGTTTCAGTTTTGGACACATGATGTATGAAAATCTGCACAGATATCAGATTTGTGTTGAAATGAGACTTATTTTTCATCAAAAATCAAACCGACCTGAAGTTTCTCATTTTTCACATTTTTTTAAAAATGAAGTTCAAATACACTAAAGATTTGAGCTAAAAGAAACAAAGGAAGGATTCAAACTTAAAAACGAGAACTGCAAGCAGTTATGAACGGGGTCCAAGCCTCCCCATGCAACTCAATCTCCACGCCCGGAGGAGACCACGAAAGTCGGCCCCTTAGGACAATGGGCTCGGGGCGAGCGTCAGGACACAGGCCAACGTCTGAGCTGCAGTATTCACCGTAATGGGTGAAGTGCACTGGAAGTGCCAAAGGCTGAATGCGTTTGTTGCAATAAGTCACGTGCACTTTGACCAATCATTACCAAATTTCATAAAAATCGGTGTAGCCTTTAGCAGATAAAAACTTCCCAGGTGTATAGCGCCACCTAGTGCCCAATGTTCACCAAAATCTGTTCACACCCTCACAGTCACATACTAACCAAGAATCTCAGTTTTGGTTTTGATAGCTTTTAATTTGACAAAGATACAGAACTGTTTGCTTTTTTTATAGCTAGCTACAAAAATGTATTCATTAATAATTCGCACATTTTATGACTGGACATAATTCTTTTGAGAACTTTAAATCAGGTCCATCTTGTGAGTCTAGGGGCCACGTTTCATGGAGGTCGCACAAAATCTGTAGGAGGAAAAAGTAGGTTTTGCAGTTCCCATTTTGCAGTTTTTGCAATTTTTGGCATAAAAAAAGTTAAGCAGAAGTGGGCAGTGCCATGGACACTTGATGAAGCTCCATTCAGGGAATCCATGGATATAAAGCTTCTGAATGTGCGACATATAGTGTGGGAGTCAAATGCCAAAACGCGTTGGCCTTGATTATAGCACCCCCTGCAGGTGCACATGTGTAATTTCTTGCATCTGAGGTCCCTGCATGGGTCTGGATCAACCCTCCAAACTGCACCACCGTCCCTTGCATGGTGTAGCCTACAGTACCACTTTTATTTACAGAAAAAAAAAATAATAAGATGTATAATAATAATAATAAAAATGTGAACAAAAACAATAGGGTTCCCAGGACCGCTGGTCCTGGGAAATGTGTCTGCTTGCATGCGCGTACCCCAGGCCCCACGGGCTTGGACCCCTCATAAACTTTAAATCTAGGTGTGTGTGGGTATAACGAGCTCTCTGTGACGTCAGTATCCATCTCTGCCTCAGTGTGTATAGACACTACATACAGTACCTTCAAGACGCAGCCCTTCCTGACTCCGTATGCGTCTCTCAGTAGGTCAAAGTTCGACCGAGCGATCTCCACGTTCTTTATGCAGCCCACATACGATCTGGAGACTACCTGTCGCCTAGCAACCAGACAGGTAGAAACAGTCAGACAGGTAGAAACAGTCAGACAAGAAGAAACACACAGACAGCCTTCTGTGACATCACACACTCACCTTATTGGTCTGGAGGCAGGAAGTCCTCCGATGTAGATGGGGTCCAGGTCGGAGCGGTTCAAGTCAGAGGCAGTTCCAGGTGACTCCGCCTCCAACACCTCCTTGTCTGATGATTGGTCGGCTGCCATGATGGACAGGTAACCTGATAACATAGTAAACGACAGTATTATTACAGTATAGTCGCAGTAGCAGTAGTAGTAGGAGTAGCAGTAGCAGTAGTAGTGGTAGTAGCAGTAGTAGTAGTAGTAGGAGTAGCAGTAGCAGTAGTGGTAGTAGCAATAGCAGTAGCAGTAGTGGTAGTAGTAGTAGCAGCAGTAGTAGCAGTAGCAGTAGTGGTAGTAGTAGCAGCAGTAGTAGCAGTAGTAGTAGTAGGAGTAGCAGTAGCAGTAGTAGCAGTAGCAGTAGCAGCAGTAGTACCTTTGCGTTTGTTCCTCTGTATAGTGATCTTGTACCAGACTCCGGTGTTGTACTTCCTGTTAGAGGTCAGAATCAGAGAACCTGAGCCGAGGTCAAAGGTTAGACGGACAAGCCCCTCCACCAGCTCCATGGACAGGAAGTCTCTCTGCAGGTGACAGAACGTGTAGCCAATGTCAAAAGTGATGATAGTCTTGGTTTTTCGGCCTGTGTGTGTGTGTGTGTGTGTGTGTGTGTCGTACAGTGTTGTTGGAGGCCAGGTAAAGCAGTAATCCGCCCGGCGACAGGGTTTTAAACAGCAGGACGATGGAGGTGGAGGTCGCTCGCAGAGACTTCTGAACCAATGAGAATCCAGATCCATCAAAGTGGAACGACGTCTCCTCCGCCTGTGGACTGAGAGACAGAGACATGAAGAGACAGACAGGAGGAGAGACATATTTTTAAGGACAACCTTCAGATATGTCAAGGCTCAAATATGTTATTCAGAACATACACTTCTCATACACCTGTGGTCGTACACCTGTGGTCATTCACCTGTATTCATACACCTGTGGTCATACACCTGTAGTCATACACCTGTACTCATACGTCTGTAGTTATACACCTGTAGTTATACACCTGTAGTTATACACCTGCAGTCCTTCACCTGTAGTCATACACCTGTAGTGATACACCTGTAGTCATACACTTGTGGTCATACACCTGTAGTTATGCACCTGTAGTCATACACCTGTAGCCATACAACTGTAGACATACACCTGTGGTCACACACCTGTAGTCATACACATGTATATACCTGCTGAAGCAGCCTCCACACTCTCCCTCTCTGCTGTTGTAGTTCCAGAGTCCGATGTTTCTCTCATTGAGAGATGCTTCACCCAGACAGCCCTGGAAGGTGGAGGACCGCAGCATGGCCGGACGCTGACAACACACACACACGCACACACACACACACACACAGTTATCACCTGTTCACCTGCGCAGACCTGTACACCTGATGTGAGTGTGTGTGCTACCTGAGTGTGAGATCCCAGTCCTCCAATGTGGATCACTGTGTTTTTGTCCACATCTAAAACTCTGGAAGGTCCCGGTGATGTTGCTGTTATCACGGGCAATGTAGCCGACTCTGACTCCAGCTGATGGACTGACAGAGAGACATGTGCCCCGAACCTGCCGACATCATAACATCATCACTTCACTTCATCGACATTACTGAATGTTATTTGACACTGAAGTGTTAGGAGCTATTGTTTTGAGTCGGTATTGTTTTCATTCAGGGTCGATCAGCGTCGATCAGGGCTAATCAGAGCTGATCAGGGTCTATCAGAATTGATCATGGCAGAACAGGACAAATCAAGGTCTATCAGAATTGATCACGGCAGAACAGGACAAATCAAGGTCTATCAGAATTGATCACGGCAGAACAGGACAAATCAAGGTCTATCAGAGTCATTCGGGGATGATCAGGGTGTATCAGAGTCGATCAGAGCCGATCGTGGTTGATTAGGGATGATCAGGGCCGATCAAGTTGATCAGGGCCAATCAGGGTCGATTAGAGTGGTTCAGGGCCGATCAGGGCCGATTAGGTTCTATCAGAGTTGATCAGAGTCGATCAGGGTCTATCAGGGTCTATCAGAGTTGATCAGGGTCGATCACGGTCTATCAGGGTTGATCTGGGCTGATCAGGGTCTATCAGGGCTGATAATGGTCTATTAGGGCCGATCAGGGTTGATCAGGGACAATCAGGGATGATCATGGTCTATCAAGGTTGATCAGGATTGATCAGGGTCTATCAGAGTCGATCAGGGTCGATCAGGGATGATTACGGTCAGTCAGTGTCGATCAGGGTCAGTCAGGGCCGATCAGAGTCAATGAGGGATGATCAGGGTCAATCAGGGCCAATCAGGGCTTGACATGGTAGATCAGGATCTATCTGTCTATCCCCATCCGGACCAAATATGGAGCGTGGACTGGTGGCTGGAGAGGTGCCAGTTCACCTCCTGGGCCCTGCTGAGGTGCCCTTGAGCAAGGCACCGAACCCCCCAACTGCTCGGGGCGCCTGACCAAGGCAGCCCCCTCACTCTGACATCTCTCCACTTTGTGCATGTATTGGTCCTGTTTTTGCATGTGTGTGTCTTTCGGACCTGTGTGTTAATGACAACGGAGTAAAAAAATTGAATTTTCCCTCAGGGGGATTAATAAAGTAAATAAAATTAGATTTTTTTAAAAAAAATCAGAGTTGATCAGGGGTGATCAGAGCCAATCATGGTTGATCAGGGATGATCAGAGTTTATCAGAGTCAATCAGGGATGATCAGGGCTGATCAAGGATGATCTGAGTTGATCAGGGCCGATCAGGGCTGATCAGAGTCTATCAGAGTCGATCAGGGATGATCAGAGTCAATCAGGGTCAATCAGGACTGATCATGTTTGATCAGGGTCTATCAGAGTCGATCAGGGCCATGCTTCACCAACTTAACATCAAAGTAAAATAAAGGACGGTTCATCTGTTCGTATTTCCTGAACAACATCAGTTGTTTGTCAAACACCTATGGATGATGATGTCATCCAGATAACATCTCCACAGCTTTATTCTGAAAGTTACTTCCTGTTTGGCGAGGACAAGACGGTCCTGACAAACATGACATGCTCATGTGATGGGACTAAAGCTCCAGAACGTAGATACTGACAGGATGTGACGTCATAACAAACAGAACACAGCATCATTTGAGGCGTGTATTTACCGTGTGGCGTTGATCCTGGTCCACCTGTTGTTGGTGATGTCAAGTCCAGGAAACTCCAGCCTGCTGCTGCCTGAACCCACATCCCACACCAGAGACACCTTCCCGTCATGCATCTCTACCGCCAGGAAGTCCACCTGAACACAGCAGACACACACAGAAGAGTTTCAGGACCCAGACCTGACATATGACAAGCCTCAAACCTAATGAGGAGAACCTGATGAAGAGAACCCGATGAAGAGAACCTGATGAAGAACATATGAAGGAGAGAACCTGATGACGAGAACATGAAGAAGAAAACCTGAAGAAGAAAACCTAATGAGGAGAACCTGATGAAGAGAACCCGATGAAGAGAACCTGAAGAGGAGAACATGAAGGATAGAAACTGATGAAGAGAACCTACTGAAGAGAACCTGATGAAGAGAACCTACTGAAGAGAAGCTGATGAAGAGAACATGAAGGATAAAACCTGATATAGAGAACCTACTGAAGAGAACCTACTGAAGAGAACATGATGAAGACAACCTGATGAAGCTTCTTTTTTTTTGTTTTTTCTCATCTGCGTAATATTGCGAAAATTAGGCCTATCCTGACCCGAAAAGATGCAGAAAAATTGGTCCACGCTTTTGTTACCTCAAGGCTGGATTACTGTAACTCTCTATTATCAGGTAGCTCTAGTAAGTCCTTAAAAACTCTCCAGCTAATTCAGAATGCAGCAGCACGTGTACTAACAGGAACTAAGAAAC